CCTGCGTCTGACCTCAAAGTGCACAAGCGACCAACTTCAGCGTTGGCTGCGATTTTGAAGCTGAAATTGCGTTCGGTGTGAACGCAGCATAACTGTTACAAAGTCATTTAATGGTGAGTAGTATTACTAGTATTATTAGTACTACTTTGGGGTACTACAGTGTAACACGTGTTCTATCCAACAGAAAACAACAACCAGGGAGCCTCCTACATATTTTAACCCCACAAGGAAAACAAGTAGAACTGGTCAACACCTACAACTATCTGGGTTTTATCATTGACAGTGACCCATCATTCAAAGCTCACATTGCTAAAACAGCTACTAAACTCAAGCTGAAGCTGGGTTTTTATTTCAGAAACAATGCCTGTTTTTCAGCCAAAGTAAGGAACTTTCTAGTTCCAGGTAGCTGCTCTTTTTTATGCCTTTACTGACTTTGGAGACGTGTTGTATCTGAGCCCTGCATCAAAATATCTACAGTCTTTAGACACTGTGTACCACCACGGTGCCCTGAGGTTCATCACTGGCTCCAGCTACCTCACTCATCACTGTGAGCTGTCTCTTAGATCAGGTTGGTTTTGCTTACAGCTCACAGATATACACACAGGAAAGATCTTATCTACAAGACCTTCCTGGACTTAGTTCCAACTAACTTAAGCACTTTACTATAAAGAACCAACAGCCACTCCTCACTACCAAGCACCAATGTTATCCTCCTGACGGTACCACGCGTCAGAACTGAACTGGGAAAGAGACCTTTCRATCCTGCCCCTGTAGCTTGGAACACGTTGCAGATGGATCTGAAACTTTCAGGACTCATTACGCCAAGATCCTTCATTTCAACTGTTACACATTGTGTTACCAAGACCTTTGATCCATGTGGATGTTTCTAAATGACCTGTTCAGCACAAGCTGTGTCTTTGTCTGTACTTCAAACACTGCCTTTTCTTTCATTTCATCACTCCATTCCACTGCCTAGAACATTAAGTCATTCACTGTCTCAAACCTGTTACACCTGTATAACATTGTCATTCATTCATTCATTCATTCATTCATTCATTCATTCATTCATTCATTCATTCATTCATTCATTCATTTCATCGTTTTATGATGTGTGCCGCTGACCTCTTGGCCAGGTCACCCTTGAAAAAGAGATTTTGATCTCAATGGGTTTTATCAGGTTAAATAAAGGTGATTGATTGATTGATTGATTGATTGATTGATTGATTGATTGATTTTTGTTGCTCCTCAGCTGCAGTAACGTCTCTGTCCAGCAGGGCGGCGCAGCGCCTCTCCTCTCTGCTCTTACAGAAGAAGAAGAAGAAGAAGGTCACAGTGCGCATGCGTCTCACTGAACCGGTAGTTTCTGACGGTCAACATGGTCCCGGTCCAGCTAGACTCTCTCAGACTGTGGCCCTGATGCTCCGGCCGTTCCCCCGGAGGCTCCGGCCTCTCTCGGCAGCCTTATGGCGCTCCTTCAGCGGCCTTCCTCCGCCGCTTCCCGCCGCTCAGGTCCGGTCCACCTTCCTGGAATTCTTCCGGGACAAACACGGACACCTGCTGGTCCCGTCCTCTCCGGTCCGGCCCAGAGGAGACCCGAGTCTGCTGTTTGTCAACGCCGGTATGAACCAGGTCAGTCCGAGCCTGAGTGGTCCGGTTCGGGTCCGGGATAACAATTTCAAAATAAGACTTGTGTTGTGTAGTAAAATGTAATAAATTTCAAAACAAAAGTCTCATCTTGTAGCTGACAGAGAACCGGGTCCAACCAGAACCAGGTGAAACATAAATTATTGTTATAAGTTGTTGAATATAAGTAAAGTCTGTAGCTTTGATTAAATGTTTTATCCGGTCCTCCATCCTGAGCAACTCCAGGACCAACAGTCCGGTCCGGTCCGGTCCAGGTGAAAACCTTTCATCAGCGGTGGATGGATGGATGGATGGTTGGTTGGATGGTTGTTAATTAGATGGATGGATGATTGTTAATTAGATGGATGGATGGATGGATGGTTGTTGGATAGTTGTTAATTAGATGGATAGATGATTGTTAATTAGATGGATGAATGGATGGATGGATGGTTGTTAATTGGATGGATGGATGGATGGTTGGTTGGATGGTTGTTAATTAGATGGATAGATGATTGTTAATTAGATGGATGGATGGATGGTTGTTGGATGGTTGTTAATTAGATGGATAGATGATTGTTAATTAGATGGATGGATGGATGGTTGTTGGATGGTTGTTAATTAGATGGATAGATGATTGTTAATTAGATGGATGGATGGATGGTTGTTGGATGGTTGTTAATTAGATGGATAGATGATTGTTAATTAGATGGATGGATGGATGGATGGATGGATGGATGGTTGTTGGATGGTTGTTAATTAGATGGATGGATGGATGGATGGATGGATGATTGTTAATTGGATGGATGGATGGATGGATGGATGGATGGATGGATGGATGGGCAATATGTCAAAAAAATGATCACGATTAATATTTTCATATCGTCTGATCTTGTTAATATTACGATTTTTTTAACCTAAAAAGTGACTGAAAATAAACAAATAAAAGTACAGAAATAAAAAAAACGTCTCTTATTTACTTTCTCTGATGGAACAAACAGCTGTGCTTCAGTAGAACATGCAGTTATTTTTGTAAGGTATTTAAAAAGGTAAACATTTATGTGTAAATCATAGAATCTCACATTAATAAAGTTTTCCTTTTGTAAAATTCATCTGGTCCGGTCCGGTCCAGATGCAAACCTTTCATCAGCTCTAACCCACACCAACCAGAACTTCAGGGTTTGTAAAAAGAGAGTTGGTTAGCAGGGTTTTTACAGCTGCTGCAGTTCCACAGATACTCAGAACCAGAACCAGAACCAGAGCAGCTGAGGCTCACCTGCAGCTCCAGTTTTATGTCGAATTATTTCAGCAAACATCTCTGAACCTGTCTGAGACTTTACGTCCAGGTTCTGGTTCTAGTTCAAGCCCATCTTCCTGGGAAGCGCAGACCCCCGCAGCCCGATGGCGTCCTACCGCCGGGTGGTCAACAGTCAAAAGTGCGTCCGCGCCGGCGGGAAGCACAACGACCTGGACGACGTGGGCCGTGARGGGTACCACCACACCTTCTTCGAGATGCTGGGAAACTGGTCCTTTGGAAYCTACTTCAAGGTGGGAGGAGCTCTGTCTTCTGTGTGGTCCTTCCTGTCAGAGTAGGTGGAGCCTCAGGCTGTACGTGTGTGTAACCAGGAGGAGGCGTGTCAGATGGCGTGGAGCCTCCTCACAGAGCATTATGGGATACCTCCGGACAGGCTGTACGTGTCTTATTTTGGCGGGGACGCTGCGTCTGGACTCCCAGCAGACCAGGAGACCCGGCACATCTGGCTGGATCTGGGGTAAGTCTTGTTCTGTCTARGGCTACACCTCAGGTTCTGGTTCTGGGTGTGCTGACCGGGTCTGTCCTCCTCAGGGTTCCTCCTGCTCGGGTCCTGCCCTTTGGACTGAAGGACAACTTCTGGGAGATGGGAGATACCGGTCCCTGTGGACCCTGCACCGAGGTCCACTACGACCACGTGGGAGGCCGAGACGCTGCAAGCCTCGTCAACACAGGCAGTCCAGATGTGGTGGAGATCTGGAACCTGGTCTTCATCCAGTACAACAGGTCAGTCCTGGATCTGTTACAGACCAGATCAGACCATGTGAGACCAGAACCTGAGGTCAGGGGTCCACCGGGCTCAGCTGTCGGTCTGCTGCAGGGAGGGGGACCAGAGTCTTCGTCTGCTGCCCCAGTTCAGTGTTGATACTGGAATGGGACTGGAGCGACTGGTGAGCGTCCTGCAGGGCCAGCGGTCCAACTACGACACGGACCTGTTCCTGCCACTGATGCACGCCATCCAAGAGGTCCGCACAGGTCCATGATCCAGATGAAACCTGTCCCGGTGGTATGTCTGTGTCCATGGTGATGTCTCTGTTGTGTCCTCAGCGGTCCAGAACTGGGCCTTACTCTGGCAGGATGGGGACAGTGGGTGAGGGACAGCTGGACCTGGCCTACAGAGTTGTAGCYGACCACATCCGAACTTTATCGGTCTGTATTGCTGACGGGGTCCATCCAGGGATGTCAGGAGCTGAGTGAGTCTCTGTCCAATCAGCTGGCAGTTTGATGATGTCATACCTTACCTATTTGTTTGTTTGTCAGGTTGGTGCTYAGGAGGATTCTGAGGCGGGCCAGTCGGTTCTGTGTCGAGGTCCTGAAGGCCCCGCAGGGAGCACTGGCCAGCCTGGTTCCTACTGTCACTCACATGCTGGTAAAATACATTTACCACAATACCTCAGTGCTGGAAGGAGGGGGCGGGGCTTCATGCTGCACCGGTTAATTGATCCAGGGTTGGCTGGTCGATTAGATAGTTGGTTGGTTGGTTGGTTGGTTGGATAGATGGTTGGTTAATTGATTGGATGGTTGATTAATTGGATGGTTGGGTAATTGGTTGGATGGTTGGTTAACTGATTAGATGTTTGGTTAACTAATTAGATGTTTGGTTAATTGATTAGATGTTTGGTTAATTGGTTGGATGGTTGGTTACTTGGTTGGATGGTTGGGTAATTGATTGGATGGTTGGTTAATTGATTGGATGGTTGGTTAACTGATTAGATGGTTGGTTAACTGATTAGATGTTTGGTTAATTGATTAGATGTTTGGTTAATTGATTAGATGTTTGGGTAAATTGATTGGATGTTTGGTTAACTGATTGGATGTTTGGGTAATTGATTGGATGGTTGGGTAATTGATTGGATGGTTGGGTAATTGATTGGATGGTTGGTTAACTGATTGGATGGTTGGGTAATTGATTGGATGGTTGGGTAATTGATTGGATGGTTGGTTAACTGATTGGATGGTTGGTTAATTGATTGGATGGTTGGTTAACTGATTAGATGTTTGGTTAATTGGATGGATGGATGGATGGTTGGTTAACTGATTAGATGTTTGGTTAATTGGATGGATGATTGGTTAATTGGATCATCTGACTGAATTACGACCCTATCCCCCCTCTCCTGGTAGGGTGACGTGTATCCAGAGCTGTCTACCGAGGTGGACCGGGTGAGTGTTCTGGTMTCAGTCCAAGTCAGCGACTTGTCTACACTTTCAGCAGCTGGATGATGTAACAGGAAGTTGTCTTGATGTGTTTCCTGTTTTACAGATCATGGACATCATCAACGAGAACGAAGCTCACTTCCTGTCGTCTCTTCAGCAGGGCAGCCGGCTGATCCAGAGGACTCTCAGCAGCATGGACTGCAGAGACCAGCTGTTCCCTGGTCAGAGGGTTCAGGTTATGAATTCTGGTCTGAGTGGTCGGTGACTAATGTCCTGTTGATGTTTCAGCCTCGGTGGTCTGGTCTCTGCACCGGYATCTGGGTTTTCCTCTCGACCTGGTAGACTTGATGTTGGAAGAGAGAGGTGTCCAAGTAGACCGTCCGGAGCTGGACCGACTGATCACAGAAAATCAGAAGGTGGAGCYTCACTCAAGTTTCAAAATAAAAGCCCCCTACGATCAGTTTCACAAACTCCCATGATGCACCTGGTTCTTCACACCTTTGTATTGAAAGAATCAGAGGGCTCTTATTGTGAAAGAGATGGAGTTTTTGTTAGGAGGGACTTTTCATCTAATGTCATGTCACACAACCGTCTCAGGTGGTCTCGTGTCACTGATGATGTCACACACCCGTCTCAGGTAGTCTCGTGTCACTGATGTCACTCACCTGTCTGAGGTGGTCTCGTGTCACTGATGATGTCACTCACCTGTCTGAGGTGGTCTCGTGTCACTGATTATGTCACTCACCTGTCTCAGGTGGTGTCAGAGCAGCAGGCAGGTGTCCCATCCCGGTTGACGCTGGACGTCCTCAGCCTGGCGAAGCTGCAGGGTCTTGATGTCCCGCCTACCGATGACAGCCTGAAATACGAGTACCGAGTGGAGYACAGGCGATACGGTGCGCTCCTACCTGCACAGGTAACACAGCCGAGCCTGTTTGTGGTCCACACCTGGTCTAAAACTYCTCTGTCCCCCCAGTGTTCCCAGAATGCCGAGCGAGGGTCCTGGCCTTGTATGATGGTCTGGACCTGGTTTCAGAGGTCTGTGAGGGTCAGTCCTGTGGAGTCATTCTGGACCGGACCTGTTTCTACTCAAAGCAGGGGGGTCAGTCACCTGACCGGGGCTACTTCACCTGTGACCGTCTGCAGGTGAGCTGATGGCTCTCACAGGAAGAGCARGATGGGTAAAAACCTTGTCCCGATGACTGCAGGGCTCTGCTGTCTTTCAGGATGCTCTGTTTCCTGTGGAGGCTGTGGACCGGGCCGGGGGGTACGTGGTCCATCAGGTGACTGCAGTCAACAGGCTAAAGACCGGAGACCGGGTCCAGCTGCACCTGGACCAGGTAAAAACCAGCAAAGTCCCAAAGATYTTAAGCTGGACCAAACTGGACTAACAGAGATCTACAGAACCCAGATATCCTCCCTGTTGTCTGTAATTGTCCTGGTTCTGTCCCGTCCCAGGCCCACCGGCTGTCCTGCATGGTCAAACACACCGCCACACACATCCTGAACCTGGTTCTGAGGAAGGTTCTGGGTCCGGCGGTCCATCAGAGGGGGTCCCACGTTTCTGCTGACCACCTGCGTTTTGACTTRAGCATCAAGGTGAGCCTTTACCTGCGGAGACACTAACGGACCCACAGAGGTTCTGATGTGTCCTGTCCGCTCTCCTCAGGGTTCACTAAGCTCCTCCCAGCTGCAGCAGGTAGAGAGGTGTGTCAAAGATGTCATCTCAGCCAATCAGAGGGTCTACAGCCAGGAGGTTCCTCTGCAGACAGCCAGGACCATCAGGGGACTGAGGACAGTGGACGAGGTGAYCCCAGACCAGACATCTCCTGACCCCGCCTCCAGGTGTTCTGATGCTCCGCCCTATCCTGTCTCTGCAGGTGTATCCAGACCCTGTTCGGGTGGTGTCTTTGCAGGTCCCGGTTTCTGAGCTGCTTGACAGCAAGACAGAGTCTGAGACATCTGTGGAGCTCTGCTGTGGAACGTGAGATTAGAACCATGTCTACCTGTCCTCATGTCTACCTGTAAACAAGTCTACCTGTAAACAAGTCTACCTGTAAACATGTCTACCTGTCCACATGTCTACCTGTCCACATGTCTACGTTTCTAAATGTCTGTTCACATGTTTACCGTCTCAGGTGTGTATTCTCAGGTGTATTATCTCAGGTGTGATTTATCAGGTGTGATTTCTCAGGTGTATTATCTCAGTTGTGTAACTTTCTGGTGTGATATCTCAGGTGTGTAACTTTAGTTGTGATATCTCAGGTGTGTAACTTTCTGGTGTGGTATCTCAGGTGTGTAACTTTAGGTGTGATATCTCAGGTGTGTAACTTTAGGTGTGATATCTCAGGTGTGCAACTTTCTGGTGTGATATCTCAGGTGTGTAACTTTAGGTGTGATATCTCAGGTGTGTAACTTTAGGTGTGATATCTCAGGTGTGTAACTTTAGGTGTGATATCTCAGGTGTGTAACTGTCTGGTGTGGTATCTCAGGTGTGATTTCTCAGGTGTGATTTATCAGGTGTGATTTCTCAGGTGTGTAACTTTCTGGTGTGATATCTCAGGTGTGTAACTTTAGGTGTGATATCTCAGGTG